GTGATAAAACAAAGTTGTGTTGTTTTATCACCTTTGGTTAATTTTATGATTGATAGACTATCTGATCAACCTTTCAAAATTTGCTTTTTTGAAAAGAATTTATCGTCAAAGTACTTCATAAAAAATGAACTTTTGGAGGATAGCAATTTATGTTTTAAAAAACATTTTTGTCAATATTAGTTAGTACAATAATACTTTGTACTTGATCCAAACACATCTTACTTCTGCTTGCTACTCAAAAACACTTATTCTTCTTAAATATTTGATCCAAACACATCAATTATCTAAAGTATACACTTTTGATTTCCAAAATTTGGCCAAACTTACTAGTACATTCTCATTTCCTTCTACCTACCTTATATATTAACTCATCATATAAAATAAAATTTAAACATAAATTATTGCTCATCTAGTTTGAAAGTGTTGACATGATTGGTTACAAACAAATAATGTTCAGGAATTCTTTATGGCAACGGTAGATAATCCCTCAAATGCAGTTGAATGGGTACTTGCAGAAATGTTGAATCAACCAATTTTAATGCAAAAGGCTATAGAAGAACTCAACATTGTTGTTGGGATCAATAGATGGGTTCAAGAATCAGACTTGCCAAGGCTTAATTATGTCAAGGCTTGCATAAAAGAGGCCTTTCGACTCCATCCCTTTGTGCCTTTTAATCTTCCTCACGTGTCTGTCTCTGATACCATTGTCGGTGAAAAGTACTTCATCCCTAAAGGGAGTATAGTGCTATTAAGTCGTCTTGGACTTGGCCGGAATTCTAGAGTTTGGGAGGATCCATTAAAGTTCAAGCCAGAGCGCCACCTCAAAATGGAAGATGGTGGTGAAGTAATTCTCACTGATTCAAACTTACGTTTGTTATCATTTAGTACTGGAAGACGAGGTTGTCCAGCTGTGAAACTTGGTTCAACAATTACTACAATGTTACTTGCTAGGCTTCTTCAAGGATTTACCTCCAAATTCACCATGCAATGATTTAATTGAGTCTTCTAAGATTAATCATTTGTCTACCTTACCACTTCTTGCTCAGGCAAAACCAAGATTAGCTAAAGCCATGTATCTTTAAGCTGCAATATTTTTCGTATTCATCTGTCTAAGTCTTAGTGTGTGAAATTATTTGTGTAAGGATATATCATTTAAACCATGTGGTTTTAAGTTATAGTATTGTTTTTTATCCTATATCTGTAAAGATTGTATTTTGTTACTTAATTTAATAAAGTATCATTTGAATAGATCATTGGGTAATTAACATGTCTGTTATTTAGTATATGGAGTTCTTTATCTTGTAAACTGAAAATTAAAATTATCGGTCCTTTTAAGTTATAGATCAATGTTTATAGTGAAAGATGAAACCAAACAAACATCTTGATGATTGTAGTACAAGATTAAATATAATTGGTTCTTGATTACGAGATTGACTCTATTCCAACTTCTTGTGCTATTATATTATTCGTGTTTATTGAACGGACCAAGTCGAGATGTTATTTTATATTCAAAATATTTTATAAAACAACTTCTCTAGTTCATCAAATGTACTTTTACTCTAAATCTTGTATAATTGTTATGATCAATGTAACTTGATTTATTATATTGATCTGTCAAAAGGTACAACTCTTTCGTTGGTCACACATTTATGATAGATTGGATGATAACAAATAACATTAATACAATAATAATTAATTGATATAATATATATCTCGATCTTGAGATTGATGATGCCCCTTATAATTGGTTATAAGGTTTCATGTAAGAATTCTGCATGTGAATTTTATATTTATGCATTGGAGGCATCTCATTGGAGTTCTTAAATTTGGGAAGATTGGAAGGCTACTAATCTATATCATTTTAAAAGCATGATGATCCTTAGATTTTTTTTTTTGAAATTGTTTGTCCTTTTAAAAGATTATACAATAGATAAAATTATAATTTTCTGTTTTTTCTCAAATTATTATTTAATCCTCTTTATACAATTTAAAATTAATGAGTCCTAAATTATATATGAAAAATAAAGTTATCCTGAAATATATGGTAAGATATATTAGAAAAATTAATAATTAAGGAATAAATGCATCACAAAAGATAGAAAGCAAAATAAAATTACGTTAGGAAAAATACAGAATTTTGTCATCATCATGTGGCCTAAATGTAACACCTCGAATTTCGAAAAAAGCTAAAGAGAGGTTCGTACAAGTCACCCATCCGTTTGTCATTTTGGGTTAACTTCAAATGATCATATATTTTAGCACATAAATAATTAAGTGGTCTGTGACCTATCAAATTAAAGATCTTTGAGTCCTCTTTCTAAGCCGCCAAGTTTGCTTAATTTCGAGCTCAGAGTAGAAAGTTATGGTCGTTTTAGTGAAGTCAATTTTCTAAAGACTACTCAATCATTTTTAGAGGGATAGTTTGGTCTTTTCTTTTTCCTTCTAAACCTAGACACGTCTTCACCCAATTAAGGGTCTAATCAGATGTAAAACCACCTTTTTACGTTCTTTAACGCTTAGAAAAATTAGAGCAAGGTTTCAAGAGGAGAAAAAGCTAGGTTTCAAACATTCTTCAAGATTCCATTGATTTTCGCCAAGAACGTTGTTCTTTCCAGGTATGTGAAGCTTCTCACAGTGTTGAACTTGTTCTTTCATGCACCCTGCATCTCAATTTAGTCAAGAAATCGTCATATTTAAAGGATACATTTGTCATGACCAGAGTTTACACCCTCGACGTGGCCGACACTGAGAACCATTGTTGGTCCCCCAAGCAACCCCTCATCCTGGTTGACTATAAGCGGAAGACTAACTCAAGCTTACAAAAGCTTAAAAATGAATAAAATTTATGAACTCAAATACAAAGCTTTAATTCAAATGGTTTACTCTGAATATAAATAAAATATTCAACTAGCCAACAATAGGCAACTCAAGTCTTTAAAAGATTTAATTTAATAAGATAAATGAAACCAACTTCTCAAACTCTACTGTCTATCTATGAAGCCTCTAAATGACAAAGATGGAAGT